TTTCGATCTATCTTCTCTAAGTCTCTTACCCTCTTTGTCTCTTTTGGGCAATTATTTTAGATTTCCCTGTATCTAATTTAATCTAGTAGATAACTCTTCTATTGAATTTCCAATTCCAATCACATTTGTATATTTTCATGTTTTATTGTCCTCTACAAGTCTTCCCCTCCATCTAATAGTATTCTGTTCTTTAGTTTTTTTCTCATATGCTTTTACTTATTTAAACTTAAGTAAAAAATGCTTTTTTTTCTATTCTGTATATTATTTTGACATCTGTAATCTCTAATTGTTAATGCTTCTGACTCTGTCTGTGGCAAGTTTCTCTGCCTGTTTACTTGTGTGTGAATACGTTGGAGCTGGGTTCAATGTATTCAAAAGTTCAAAAGAAAATTCATTTCTTCTTCAGAGACAATGTACTTCTGCTTCTGCCAGAAGCTCTAATTACTCACCTGGAACCACTTTAGACTAAAATCTTGGAGTTTGGGGGCCACACAGGTAATATCAATTAAACCTGAATGAGGATTGGTTCATAATAAAAAATTCTTCTGAGAACCCTCAATCCAGAGCCAACATTCAAACAGGTACATTTCCTTATTCCCTCACTTTGTGTGGCGTATTTCCTGCCCCCCCACCCCCCATCCTTTATTCCCAATCTTGCAAAGCATCACTTTTCAGAAAGTCCCAGGTTATCTGCAGCTCCTTGCATGGCCACGTAAATCTCTAGGACCTTAAAGATCAATCAGATGCCTAAAGAGCAGTTGCCTGCTTCAGCAGCTGGCGAAGTCCTTTGGATTTGTGCTCTTTTGTTGTTTTTTGCCACTGAACACTTCCTTTTCTTGCATTTAAAAAAATTTTTAGTGTTGTATCTAGAATGTTTAGATTACCTGTTCTGAGAGAATGCATATAGAATGTACATCTAGTCCACAGCAATGACAGAAAGGAAAAGTCTCAAACATTTTCAAAGGCCCCAAAGTCCTTTGTTAGAGCTGAATATAGGTATATGATCTAGAATATAGCCCAGCCAAGACACAACGGTACTTAAAATGCTCATTGGTAAGTTAAGCATACATAACTTGTGGCTAGTACTCACAGCTTGTACTGCACTTATTTTTTTATAGACTGAATAAAATTATTTTAGAAAGGAACAAAGTTAGCTATTTTATTACCAGACATGCAAACAGAAATTGAAGTTAACTTGCATAAAATTAATAAACAGTTCTCCCCATTGCATTTTTGATATTCTAACTCCGCCTACTTACCAAACTTGACTTTGTGTTTTAGATACAGCGGTGAAATATCAGAACTCATATCCAAGGCTGTTGTACTTAGGATGAAAAAGACAGGAATGTTCTTTTCTTGCTTATTCTTTTGAAAGAGGTTATACTCCCCAGCAGTCACAGTTAGACTCTTAAGTTGCTTCCTAAAATGAAAACTTTCAGTAAGTAGTTGTTTCCTCCAGTAAAGACTTCTTGGTTTCATGTAATTAAATGAAAGTGATAATTAATGTACCTTTAAGCATTTCTTAAGCCTTAAGTGAGGTGTTTATTATTGATTACTACCCACTTTCATAATTTCCTGTTTGGGATCTATAAAAAAAATCATGAATTTGTCATGGAATGTTTATATATATATATATTTTTTTCCTTTTTGTCTTTTTTCGTGTCCGGCAACGGATCGCAAC